AAGTTAGCTACCTCGTTAGTTATTCCAAACGGCATTCTACGAAATTGAGTCCGCCGCTGGCTTCAAAGGCTGTATCATGTTTATTGCTGGGCCTTATCAATGATTGATGGTAGACACTGTTAAGGTCCAAGTACAAAATAGACCGTTTTTGGCTATTTACTCTATCATATCGTCTATTCTTGGATGAATGTAAGCATTCAGAAAAGTAAACCGGTTTATTGTTTGAAAATAAGTGATTACCATTTTTTTGTCTCTTCTCAGAGGAGACTACGAAGGCCTGAGCTCACTACTATGAATGGCTGGATTGAATTATTCCCCCGTTCAGCATACGAGTAACTTCAGTTTGGATAAAGGATTTATCCTCTTCCGTGTGTCGTCTAGATATTGTAGCTACCGGTTTACAATCGGGTGTTAAATTATAGAAGAGAGCTGCATACGGGATTCTCATAGTTGCTAGACTGCAGACTTTAAAGGGTGTCTTAGAGACTCCGAAAGGAATATCTACTAAAGAATGCTGTTATAAGAAGTTGTGCTCTAATATTAGGTCGCAGTTCAGATCTTTCATTATAAGATATCTTACTCTTTTTTATAAAGTACCCTTTACTCGTAGATCAAATGAACAATATCATAGCATTTGTATGGAAAGAAAAGAGCTAGTGATTGCTACTTTGATTAGGCACGGGTAGATTTTCTACGAATTTTCAGTCGAAAACCTTGCGTTATGGAATTTTTCTGGGCTCCCCGAGTCAATCAGTACTTTTAGTGGCTGTTCGTTAACCGGGGTTTCTATAGTTGTAGTTGATAAGCAGCAGAGTGTATCCAAATAATACCAAATACGATATCGTTTTGCTCCTCTTTTGCTGACTTTTACAAACATTAGCCCAATGTTACTGCTTTCACATTTCTTTCTTCTAGCGCCGCTTAATAACATTGCGCATTTTTCATCCCTGCAGAAAAAAAAAATACGTCTGTGTAGTTAAGGCTACTATTTTTCGATGGCTTATTGTTTCATAAGATGGGGTGTGAACAAAATAGCTGGGGAGGCCCCCGTATTGAAAATTTTAGCATTTTGTTCTGCTCAATTTCGTACACTTGACTGATCATAGGCCTGCTGTAATTTTAAAGTGCTGTATTTGAGTAATTTTTATCGGATATTCGTGGACTGTAGCCCGTTTATGAAGGTATTTCGTATCAATTCAGCTCTATATCTTTCCGCTGATACCGAAAAAAGGATCAGTCCTTACATAGTTTTATCAAGTATTGATAAAATCCCTCAATGGAGTTTGAGGGCATTTGACGCCTTGTAGCAAGTCAGTTTCTGGAGACCATTTCATTTTCTTTTTACTGTAGATCCTGTTCAGTATTGTTAAAGCTTTTTTATAGGAAGTTTCATTCACGAAATAATGGTAAACTTGTGCTGAAACATATTTGGTGATATAATTAAACTTATTAAAACTTTTATAGCAGTAAGTACTCAAAATTTTCAGGAAAGTTATTCTCCAGTGGAGATATTCTAGTTCGTTGTCAGACGCATTGGAGCCAATTATAAGTTTCATTGGACAAAGTAAATTAGCCATTATCAAAATGGTTGACACGGGAGTTCATTAAATTATAGTAGAATTATTCGAAACATTACGTATTTGTTTATCCGTTAGATTTGATGAACAAAATTTATTTTACGAATATGTACAAATATGACACAAGTACAAGAATGGGGGATGGGGAAGTTTCCATATATACAATTTGTCTTTGTGGGTGGGGAATAAAATAAGGGGGGATTAAACTAAAGACAGTGGGGACAAAAATAAAAGAGACCAATGATCACACTTACCTTACCTAATTTAACTTTGACGGAAAAACAACAACAAAAAAAAACTAAAAGCAAAATAAGCCTAAACTACCTTATTTTGCCAATGTTCACTCCAGAATTTCAAATATGCTAATGCTTAACCGACCTAAAAATGCCACTTTAAGACAGCTCCTTTTACTCAACACAAATGAGATACCTTTTGCCAAATTCAAATGGATAGAGTCAGTTCCTTTCCGTCCTAATCTTGATTTTAAACTGATGCCTAAAGAACAAGATTAGTTGGGAAGAGGTAAAACTTCTCGTCCGCATACAATTCGTTCTGTCACACCGTACATAACACGACTCGCATAACACCTAGTAAGAACACATAGTGCTTAGCCTTAGACAACGGTAAAGTAAACTTGCACCACGTGCCTACGACCCTGCAGTAGAAGACGAAGTGATCCAGAGTCTCCATAGACTCCCCGCAGCGAACGCAGTTTGGAGATTTTGCCAGCCCCGCCGAAAGAAAAAAGTCTCTAGCGGACCCAGAGAGCCCTTTTCAACACCAGCCCTGTGAGTGATGCCTCATCGGTAGTGAGGCAATTCAACCCAAGGCCATATGCAGCGAGCCTCCTGCTTGGTTAGAGCGAGCTTGCCTATCGATAATCTTGAACAGACCCCCTAAGTAGTACGTGATATCAGGATTTAGTGGAAAATGCCTGGACGACGAAGACGCCATCCGTCTCCCGTAAGAGGAAATTGTGAACAATCCGACATTCACGATAGAAGGATCACTCGTCTTGGGGTAAACTTCAGTCTCCTCCTTGTACAAGTGCACACTTTTCAGGCATGGAAAGTTCTTATGGGCGTATTCCTTCCAGAATGTGCTTTTCCCATCCAACAGCAAACATATACGGTCTAGAAAAGAGATGAGAAGCGTGTATTAACGAAACTGAACGCAAGGCATACATACACCGCCTTCAGATGGGTGGAAGTAACAGATCTCACGACATAACTTGGGAGCCTTGACTTCCCACAAGAAGAACAAGACCCTTACTAAAGCCTTTAGTTTGGCATACGGGAGTAGATGTACGAAGAGTCGGTAAAAGATAATCTTCAAGACGAACAAACAAACCGTGCATTCGACCTTCTCTTGCACCTCTGACCAATTCATTTCCAACAGAAGGACGGGAAAGAACCAGACGCCGAATATCTTGACTAGCCCGTCCGTCCAGAGGAAAATCCAAGAAATAGAGACTCCCAACAGGCCAACAATCTTATCACGGTTTATCCTGGCTCCTGTCACAGTCTAGTGCCCTCTGATCTCTTTGCCAACTTCGTCAATCTCGGCTCTGCTCGACAAAAGAATCGAAACGTTGTCGGCATAGCCAGAATACCTGGCCGAGCTGGTGGAGCTAGGTAAGGAAATTCCGCGTAGAACCAGATTCGCCATTAACTTACGAAGGAAAGGCATTTTTTTCGTAGTGACATAAAACGATGCGAACCATGGAAGCGGTGGAGTACCGTTAATATCAAGAGTCAGCAATGGGATAAAATGGAAATCTTAAATCTATCTCTTAGGTTCAGTTTCAATTTCGTCTCCCCTTTAACGCCAGAATCTTCGCTTTCATTATATATCCGAGTGATGCTTCCCAGCATTGACAGGTTTCAAAAGAGTCTACGCTGCTATGTAGATGATGAATTATATTCCACCCTGCAGTCGTTTTGATGCAGATGCACAGTTGTTAGTCTTTCCCCACTCTAACGTTATTTTCACGTCAGATGTTTAAATTAGCTACATTCATTTGTTCCACTAGTCCAAACTAGGAACGAACATGCCACGTACACGGGTTCCACTCATCGTCATTTCCTTCGTTTTTCATTGCTAAAGATGAAGTATCACCCATATATCTTCTTCGGATCCTTTACTTTATAGAGTAGACTTCCAAGGGGATGCTTCCTCGGTTATTACGATTTAAATCTTTTCAAGTTATCTATCCTACATATCATCATAATTTACATATCTTATGTCCAGGTTTAACGTTCGTAAAATCACTTAATTCAGTAAACTTCTTCCTTAAGTGGATTTTGAATATTTTTGAATGAACAATAACGTAAATTTTGCCCTCTGAACTTTGCTGAAAATTTGCCCTCGAAATGTTGCTCACACTTCGACCTCGAATACTACTAGTTTCAAATGCTCACAAAGCTAAAAGTTACATGTCGCCATCGTTTCATTTTTTTATACCATTAGTGCATTTCGACCCACCCTCAAAATGTCAAGTATATTCAAGACATAGGTGGTCATCACTCTGCCCAACATATTTTCTTTATTATCTGTGAAATACATCTTTTTGAGAAAAAAAACGCTTGTGATTTCCTGTTGCTTTCTCTATGGTTTTGAATTTGGAGTTTTATTTCTGTCACCTTGGTCAGCCCTACCAAGTTCAGAGTGGGCGTTCTACTCTGCTGCTTTACCCATATCTGAGTGGGAGGGCAAAAAATGCATTCGGTCATTAGGTATTACTTCTAAGTAAATGGAAGCATCTCACTTAGATTTTGAACTTGGGTCACCGATAACACTTCCTGCTCCCATAAATATTACGCTAACCCCACAAACAAATCATGTGTAATCAGTAGAAAGAATAAACATTTAACGCTGTAGTTCTATATATCCTACCCGGATATCACCTTTACGGCAAAATACAAAGGTCAAGAATTTGAAGTATAAATGGATTTGCAGGGCTAATTTATTCTTCTCTTTCAACACGTCATTGGTTTCCTGCGATTTTACATCGTAGTTTGTCTTCCGGGACACTAACTTAGAGCAAATGATGTTTCATACTATTACTGACGTTCTTTGTTTGAAATGGCGATTAAAGTCAGGTTTAACTGTTGTCTAACGTAACTTTATTTCTTATTGACTCTGTCGCGGGGAAAAATTGTATGTACTCAGAATATTTCCTCTGTCTTCATAAACTAATATTGTTCCCTATGGTTGGAGGATTTGCACTCGTCCACAGGAAAAATAGATTCTGTCACTTCCCAAATCTGATTATCGGAAGGCACACATATATTCCAATGCGTCGTCTTCTGACAGAAGTAATGGATCAGGCTTGCAGTGACTGCATTGACTGGAGTAACATGAGATAAAATCCCGAGAAATGTACATAACATCAGAATTTTCAGTTTAAAAGATTTACCTTAGCCATTACTTTGTTTTCTTCTCGTTTGAATGTTTTTTTTTTTTTCTCACTTGTTACTTCTGTTTTTATCTTTTTCTTTTCATTTCTTTTCTCCTAAATCATCTTCCGTTTTCCTTTCTTTGTTTTTCTCTCTGTTTGTCTGTCTTTAATTCACTTTGTCTCTTTCTCTTTCATTCTGTCTAGTTGTCATTATTCATGTCTGTCCGTCTCGCCTTAATTCTTTCTGTCTTTTAGTATTTATTACTGCCTTTATTTTTTTTCTGCCCAACTTCATTTCTGTTTGGCTGTTTCTTTTTCTCTGTCTCTATCGCTTTCTGCCTACCTGTTTATCTGCCTTTCTGCCTGTACGTCTTTCTACCTGTCTTTCTCTCTTTCTCTGGTTTATTTTTTACATTTTCTTTTTCACTTTGCTCTTTGTCTCTCTCTAATCTATTTGCATCTTCTGTTTTCTTTTCTTCTTCTTTCTACTTTATTAGTTCGATTTTGATTCCCGTTACTTTCTTTCGTGTATATATATATATATATATATATTGGTATTCCCTGCCTTTCTTTTCTTGCTTTATTTATTCTTTTCTAGTTCTTTCTTTTATTAACTTTTCTTATATTTTTGTTCGTTGAAAATTGAATTTCTTTCGTTTTCTGCCTGTATCAGCTTTATTTTTACCATTTCTCTTTCTTCTTTGTTCTTTGCTTTCTTTCTTAATATTCTTTTTTTATCTTTTGTATATCCTGCTTTATTTCTTCCTATTTCTGCTTTATTTCTTCCTTTTTTCTATCTTTTTTCGTTAATCAATCATTTCTTTCTCCCTTTCTGTATTTAAATCCGAATTCGCTAAACCTGCTTCCCTCATTTGGAAAAGTTTATTGAGACCTTCTATTTTCTCATATAAAATGGTATAACAGGATTTTATAAGAAAATACAGCAATATGCATCTTGTTTTTTTAAATACCCCTAATCAAATATTAATTCATGCAGCAATATCTGGTCTGGTACCCCTGATATTCATCTCGAGGTTCTTGAAAAAACCCAAAAACGATCTGAAATATAATCGATCCTGACTTGGCATCTCGACTTCAGCCACTTTCTCACAGACATGTTCTGGCTTCCTTCTGTCATTTCTACAAAAAATTTTTATGGCTATTGCTCTGATAAGCTCTTTTTTCTTTGTGACCCGACTACATGAATTTAAATGTGCTACTAGATTGGCATCTAGGTCCCACTCTTTTACTGTTGAAATAGTTAAATGTAACAGCCACTTCTATTCAAACAGTTTTTTTTCGCACTTCCTGACTGTGGATCACCCTCCTTTTACTTGCTTCCCTGGTAACCACAATCTTCAAAAATTTAAATGCAACCCCGTTCATCTTTTATACTTTCCTCAATCCCCCCCTATACCAAATCTTTTCTCTACTTTCTCTCTTTGTGTACTAGTAGCACTTCCGCCTTTCTGGGGGTGAATCGCTTAAAGAAATAATATAGAATTGCTATGCAAATTATCATAGAATACAGATTTATTTGGCTTGAACATTCGATATATTTAGGAGAGTACTAGCAGCATTACCCGGCGTTGCCTGGGTTTATTCAAAAAAAGATCACGAACCTCATCCAATCTGTAAAGTTAAAATAAAGAAGATTTTTCTTTAGTGCCTCTTATCTATATGGCGAAAAATTATAATGATAGGAAGTGTGAAAACATTTATAACAGGAGAAAGTTGTTTTTTTACAGATGCACAGAAGATACAAAAAACTTGTCAGTAAAAGAAGAGTACATTAATCGCAATCGATCTTCGAAAATTGTTGAGGAGAAATGCTTTGTTGACAGCTTTTGCTCAAACTACATCGAATGAACAACATGCATTGGAAGGATAAGAAATTCAACAAAGACTTCTCCTAGCACCTGTGCCAAGGCTGAAAACCAACGTTTACAAAGACTGTATAGAATTGTTCTTTGCCCCTCAGTTTCGACAGCTCGAGTATCAGTAGTTCTGGAAGCGTTCCCTCCTCGTCTAGTTAACCGTTGCTCATTAGTTTCTGCTGACCTTGCATTAACTGTATGAATAGCATTTTGTGTCCGTCTAATTTGAGTTTCTTGTTGCTAAGCGTTTCTTCTTCATGCTTTCATACGTTTGGCTGTAGTAGTAGCACGTCCAAGTGAAGGATTTCGCTTTCTTGGCATTACTGTCAGACTGTAGTTGGAGGGGTTTGGCTAAGCTTTTTAAATAACAATGAATTAATCAATTAAAAAGCAAGAATATTATACACATTAATGGAAATATAGCCACAATAAATTAAATGCAAGTTTATAAGGGAGACCACGGAAACGTGGTAAACAATTATAAGCAAGCTCGTAAAGTTAGGATTTATCTAAAAATAGACTACCAAAAAACGTTCTAGTGATAAAAAAATTTAACGTACAGCTAGAAACCTACTCACTATGAACGTTAAAACGTACACGCTAAGTTTAGCATAATTATAAATGAATCGAAAGAGGGTCTTTACATTATTATAAGTGCAGTTTTCAGAATAAAACTGTCAAACTTTTAGGGCTCAAATTTCCAAATATATGAGTTAGTAAGCATTATTTAAACGCTGATTAGAAGATAGTAAATACATAATTAAAATCGGCATTTACGCTTAAACTTTTTAATAATATGAGTTTCACAAATTTAAATTTAAAGTATCAAAAATTAAAAATATTCATACATGAAGGCAGCCTACCTTTTTACTGGATGACAACTTTGATGCGAATGAGATTTTTTGCATTTATTTCATCACATAGCACTAATGAACACTACACGTGAAGCAAAATCGATAGTACGCACTACATAACTCGATCGATCATTGCACGTGGAGCAAAATCAATTGTACACACTACACATCTCGATCGATCTCGCATACGCGTCTTATACCTACGTGCACTTCTCTCATCGGTGCACACTTTCGTTTGCACTTATTCTTTTTTTTATTTTTTGCCGTCAAGTCAAACTAAACTATTTCAGTACCAAAACGGGAAATCCATGGGAAAAACTGATATTTTTCATAATGTATTTATGACACTTGGGGGTGTCAGTTTTGATTTTGAGTTGATTGAACTAAACACAAATTATGTGCAAATTTTCATCGGAATGCTGATAACCACTACAATTGAAAGACTAATGGGGCAGCAAGGTCTTCATGGGTCATCTTGAGGGCCTCTTATGTAGTTTTCAAAATCTGATAATCGTTTTTGATTCATTTTAAGATTGTAACATACATGTAAAATTCCGTCGAAATCGAAGCAATTTGAAAATTTGGGGGTCCCTTTGGTTCACTCTAGGGGTCCCAAATTTCAAGCCAAAGGACAGGTTTAAGACTAATAGTAATTAAAATAATAAAGCACATCTTTTTAATGTTTTCTATTCGACTTTATGGCCAAGTCTGTAGACTTAATTGAAAATGTCGGGGTTCCCTGCTGGTCCCTTAACTCGTGGGGGTCTCAGTGTTGTGTTTCAGTGAATTCCAAGTGATGACTTCAGTTACTCGATATAATCTCAATATGTACTGAAATTTTCGTTGAAATTGGGGAAAAATGCTACAAAATACACTTGAAAAGCAATTGAGGTATCCAAGTGTTTATTGAGTCATCCTGGGGGCCCCTTCATGCATTTTTTAAAATCTAACAACCGATTTCTATCTCATTGTAAGAGCGTAACAAACATGCAACATTTCATCAAAATCGAAGCAATTTGAATTTTTTGGGGTCCATTTGGGGCACCATGGGGATCCCAGTGTCGAGAGAAACGAAAATCAATATAGCGTATAATAAGCATGACAGTAAGTTGCATACACTTAAGTTTCATTAAAATCGGCCTTAGGGCTTAGACTTCAAGTCCGAAAGTTTAAAAACAACCAAACTCCCATTTAAATATTATATTTATCTATTATCGGTTATTGATTTTTGAAAAATGACTAATTTTTACCCAGACACACCCAGTATCTAGTAAAATCTCTGTTCCAAATTTGGTGTAAATATGCCTTATGGTTCTCGAGTAGTTCGCGAACACACACATACACACACATATAGTCAGTTTTATATATATAGATAGATATTTAGTAGACTAAAACTCAGAGAATCCCAAGAATTACCCATATATTCAAAAATGGAAAACCTTGCAATGAGCATAATCTCTTTGATTTTAACATTATTTCGGCGGCACTAATTTTTGTTTTGTACAAGTGTCACTGATATATGTGATCAAACACATTTCCGATTCGCTTTATCAGAAAATTTCTTGTGATAACTTAGCAAAGATTCAGCCAGATATTTACGTACCCAAATTAGTTTAAAATGTTTTAACACCAATTCTGACTGAAATTGCAAAAGCAAATTGGAAGAAAATAGTAGCCCCTGTCAGGCCACACGTCTCCACAATTAAATACACGAGTAGATACCTCCTGACATTTAAACTTTCCTTGCAACATGTATAAGAATTTTTACTAAGTGAGCCACCGCAAATACAGTTACCAAGAGCAATGATTATGGCAATACGAAATTATATATCTAATTTGAGTGAATTACTTAATAACATTTACAGGTTTTTCCATATCATATTTACTTTTCTTTTCTTTCTTCAAAATTAAGTTTTGACAGGATGTTTTTGACTTTTGGTAAATATCTATTCGGCCATTTTTTTTTTGTTTACTTATTTTTGCCCGGTAGAAAAATATTGTTCGTGTATTTTTGTTATATCTATGCAATTTTATTTCTTTTTCGTTTTTATAACGAAGTAAGCTTTCGCTGACGTAAGGTGATTTTAACAACAGCGGAAGCTATTTGTGTATTTTCCTGATGGGTTGTCGCATGCCGAGGAGAACAATTCGTGCATAATATATGTAAAACCTAGAATGTCTATCCTAACAGAAAACTACTATTCTAGCTGTATTGATAAATGCTAGTTTATATCAGTTAAAACTGTCATTCACACAGATGGAAGATAAATGTAAAAAAAAACACCTGATTCATGGGTGAAAGCATCGAAATGTGGACATCGTAGAACGTTTATGAATGAAGATAATAAAAATAGTCGTGTAAAACAAATGTAAATGTAATAAAATGTGAAAATAAATTTGTAAATTGTATACATACTTTGTATTTGTAAATTGTATACATCCACTCTATCTCTCTGTCTATCTCTATCTCTCTCATCTCTCTTTCTCTCTCTCTCTCTCTCTCTCTCTCTCTCTCCATATATATATATATATATATATAAAGGAATTTTTATTCGTCATTATTAAATTATATATATATTTGTATATCAGAGGCGTGTCTTTTAAAATAGAATTGGTAATCAAGTAATACATTATTGATGTTAGACGAAAATGAAAAAAAATCTTTATCTTTTATTTGATATATAAATATATATATATAAAAACAAGTATCTAAAAATGTGTATTTACTTTCCTGAAACAACGAAGAAAATAGGGCAACTGAAAAGTGGGAGAAAATGAAGGATGAATATTGCCTTTAAGGCAATCGTTAAGATTGCTTGTTCGGCGATGCACTTCCTGACCGAGTCGAGCTAAAGCATTTCAGATCTAACAATAGCTTCTTCTGCAAAGGGGAACGCAAGTTCAAATCCTGTCGCAGGACGAATATTTTTCTTTATTAAGTTTTTTCTGGAAATAAATATACTGCTTAAAATAAAGGAACCGTCTACCCAAATATATTCACTAAAAATACCTTTTGAAATAAAAAAAAAATGTCGGATTAATAAAAAAATACATTCTATTTTTAGAAAGTACACCCACATTATTGTATGTGTATTTTTTCATTAATGCATG